GGGGGGGAAATGTTCCCCACCAATCAGGAAGATGGGTCAGCGAGTCATTACACGCCACACGGCTTCCTGATTAGCCGTGAAGCCGGCTCCATGCTCCCTTCCCGGCCAATCTGGAAGCCAGGCGGCGTTAATGACTTGCCGACCGGCTTCCTGATACCGGAATTTCCAGTATCGGGAATACGAGTACTCGGCCAAATATTTGGTATCAGCACCGATACTGATACTAGTATAGGTATTGGTGCATCCCTAGCATTAATGTTTCATTGGGACAGGGCCAAATTTGTTCATACTGCTAGAATTGCTAGTGCGGCAATCAAATATAACCTCACTCACACTTTCTAATGAACAAAGGATAACAGTTGTCTTTAGTAGCAGACATGGTAGGTACATTTAAACAGAATAAAGGCAATGAAAAGTGCAGTAGCCCATAGAAAATAACTCGACTAATGTGATTGGAGTCCATGAAAAAATATAAAAAATGTTTTTTTAAATAGTTAGGGGTTACTGAATTTTGCATATAACTGTACTTTGTTACATAGCTAAGCTCACAAATTGAATTACAACTTGACATAAAAAATCCACTGTCAACAAAACCTTTACTTTAAAATTTCAGAACAGTTTTGATAGGCACACTGTCCATGGTACTAAATTGCACATTTTATACAATGCCAAGACGTTACCTTACATCAGAACACTCATCAGAGTATGTCTGCCCTTAACTGACAATCTGACACAACAGTTTTGTATTTTCTATTTACAAGATATGATCATACTTTGAGTATCAGGAATCTAATCACCCTAAAGAAAGTTTTCATTTCAGTAATAAAAACTAATTTAAAAAAAACACGAATATCTTTAAGAATAAAACTTTCATCTTCACTGCAACAAGACATGTAGGCTAATTTACTAATAGAGGTCAGAATCTTCATAGAAAAAAATGGTGTAATTATTCTCTTAATTTAATGATGAGAAAAGTATCTGCACATGACCAGGTATTCAAAATGAACGAAAATTTGCTTTTCACATGACTGGATAATTAAAGTGAATATCCACACAATTTATTGGGCGAAGATTTAACTCCATCAGCCTCAGTCTTTCTTATCATGTGAACCAGTTAGATGTTCCCTTTCATTCTGAACTAGAAATGAAAGTGAAAATTCTGACTGATTGCCATGGACAACAAGAACAGTCCTTCCTTCAGACACTTCCAGCCACAAGGTCCAGTGTTTGTGCTAGCAGTGACTGGCTAAGACATTGAAGAAATGATACACTTCCTCTTTGTCATAAACTGCCACCTCTGTGGAACACTCATTACATTTCACAGGGTGGAACATTTCAGTTTCTGTGTTCTGTGTTTCTGAAGCAGAGCCTGTTGATTGGACCTTCAGTTTCTTGCGATTACGTCTTCGGTGCTTTGTGGGCTGTTCTGGAAATTTAAGAACCTCATTCTTGTTGACGGTGCAATTCATAACAAACATAGCTCTGTACTGGGTCTTGTATGACTCATGTCTGCAAGCCAATGAGAGTAACAGCAATTCAGAAGACAATCATAAAGTCAGAAGCTTAACCATGCATCCCCTTTTTGCTTGTAACCAATACATGCAACTAGATTGCTAAAGATACTAAAAAGGGAACTTGAACTTTTCCCCCATGCAGGTTCATGTTAAACGAGTTTACCTTTCCTTTGCTCACCTGCAGCTTTGTTCAACTAATTTATGTGCAAGCTCCCCACAGGGTACACAGGCTCAGGACTATCTCTCTGACCAATAAACATGAAGCACCAATGATGTCATGTGGAAGGGAGGGGAATGTGTTGCTTCTCCCAGCAGTTGGAGAGGTGGGAGCGAAACTAAGGAACTAAGCTGCTGGAGGGAGGAGCCATTTAAAAGTGTACAGTATGTAAACTTATTTTTTTGGATCAGCATGTACAATTTTTTGTTCATTTTGGATAGCGTGAAGGTGGATTACAACCCCTTTTCGGATATACGGTCCTCCCTTAGGGGATTTCCCTATATTTTACTGCCCTAAGGAAACATTTTCAACAGTGACAAAATAAAGATTTTTTTATTTTGTAGTAGAGGGAAGAGCCGAGACCCCAAACAGCTTTTAATTGCGGTTTGTGTCCTTGTTGCGGATATCCCCTTGTCACTTTGACAGTAAGTACAGGGAAATCTCTTTAACTGAGCCTCAGATAGCAATAAAAACCCCTGACCTGACCAGGGTTCTAATCCTTCCATACTATATCCGCAACTTAAAGAAAAAAAAGTTTTGGATGGAATTACACTTTAAAATTAACCTGCTCTTCATGGACAAGGTACAGGTTCACATAAATGTGTTTTCCAATAAAAAAAAAGAAAAGAAAAGAAAAATACCCCTTTCTATTGCAGATAGTGATTCCACACATTTTCATTGTGGGGGGGGAGGTGATGGCACTGTACGGCAATAGCGGGTCTCACCTGCTATAGACAAAATCTGAAATTGTAGCAGTTGGTGCTACCAAAGCTGTTCAGGCTGTTCTGCACTGTGCTACACAGAGGAGCCATGAATTAGCATGGAGGCAGCTTTTATTTAGCCTGGAAAAATCATCTACTGATTGCTGACAAATCACTGACCTTTGGCAATCCAAACAGAGAGTAATCATGCAGGCTGGGCAGTTCAATATGGCATCACTATTGGGCAAAGTTTGCAAATCGGTTTGCTGAGCATGCGTTTGTCTGTTTTTCTTCATGTTCCTGTACCTAGATCATAGAACAAAAATATATTAGTCCTAATTCAGGCTGATAATGTAATAAAACTCATCAGCTTTACTCTCTGCACTATATGTTGTTACACATAATACAACCCTCAGGACCAAGGCGAGTAGCGTGTGTGACATATTAGCCACAGAGAGCTGACTGGTTGCAGAATATCACATACATGCAGAATATGGTGTGCATATGATTCTTTGATTCAGAGGAAATGATCACAAACAGCTATGTTTCTGATCATAGATATGAAAGAAATATCCAATAGCATTATTTTATTTACCAACACAAATTAGATTAGCAGATATCCAAAAAAAACAACATATATAAGACAAATAAATGTTAATGAATTGCATTAAAAACAAAACATATGCAGCACATATACATTCTTTGCAACACATATACATTCCCCTGTTTCATCCCTTTACCCTTTCGCTGCCAAGTCCTGTGTTCCACTCTTTGAACTCTGCCACACCATTTTCGCAATTTCTCACCTTTTTCTTTAAATTTTAAAAGCTGCTTTTAGAAAAAGATGTAAAAGATGGTGCTACTGATTTTGTAGGTCCTGCGATAATTGCGCAAATGTTTATCAAATCATTATTAAACCAATACAAATACAAAATTAAAAAATCGATAAAAGCACACTTAAAATCAGAATCAGCGCATAAATTAACATACATAAATAACAAATATTTGTACATTTTAAATTGCGCCTTTTTGCGAAACAGTAAAAAAAAAGAACAAAAAACTGTAAATAAGCAACTTATGTTAAAAATTCTGTGTTGTGATAAGTGCCGTGCAGTGCCGTTTGTGCTGTGATAAAATGACGCAGACATATGTATCACAACGCTTTGCATTGCGCTTCCACACAGTTGAATTAATGTCATTTTAAAAAGAAAAAACAAGCACTGCGATATGTTTTAACAACGTAGGGCAGCGCATGTGCATAACATGGTTGGGGGGGGGGGGGTTTTATGTTTTATTTCTTTTGCTTCATTCATGTTTCTCCTTGGATCCCGGCTGCCTCTGCCCGGGGGAGAGCAGCGGGGATCCAAGAGGACACAGATGGGAGCATGGATCGGCTCCAAGCGGAAGGAGGGGGCAGGAGAGGCTGTCAGTTTGCGGCAGCGGCTCAAATTTTAATGTATAGCTGCTGATGACAGCCAAATTTACAGGGGATCGTCAGGAGAACCTTTCTGATATAAGTTTATAGTCGCTAAAGCGACCATGAGCTTATAGCAGAAGGGTGCAAGCCACAGCCGCAAGGCACACTGAAGTGGCCACCTGGAAACAGTTGTGTTCCGCCATATGTCTTACGGTGGTGGCAGGGAAAGGGTTAAAGACCATGCAAGTAAAGAAAAATATCTGTTAATCTTCCATAAATGCACTCAGCTCCACACACAGCAATTTGTGGAGTGTCGTTAACCCTCCCAGTGTCTTTTGTTAAACTACTCGACCACAACGTAAATGCTGAACATTCCTTGTCCAAGATAACAAGTAGGAGGGATTAACAGACTCTAAAAGATAACGCAGGAAGTGTGCACAGAAAACCGCTGAATTTCTGACAAGATCAATAGTTTGTTATATCTGTTCGTTAAGTAAAAAAAAAAAATGGTTTATTAAGAGACCAAGAGGCAGCAAATAGGATTTAAATACACTTTAAGCAGCAACCATTTGTCCTCTAAAGCAATGATAGGAGATGATAATATGCTCGGTAGGGAATAAAGAACAGGCAGCACAATAGGATAATTATGGCCTCACCCTCTTCTCTTTGCATCTACCCATTCCTGATCCCGGTCATCCTCATCTGGATCATATAGGAGGTCATCATTGGTTAATATTTTGTGCCTCTGCTTCTTTCTTTGCTTCTTTTCTTGCTGATCTAGAAAAAGGGAAAAAAAACAAAAACACATTATTAAAAACTGAAGAAGTTACAACAGAAGTACTTGCTTGTTCGTTATTGTGAGGAGTTACCTGGGTGTGCTCTGTGACCAGGTTCAGGTACCCAAATAAAGGGTAATTTTTGAGTATTGAGTATCTTGCGATCCCTTACAGGGACAAAGTACATTAACTTATGCTTTTCGGGTTCACTAAGCACAACAGAGCAGCTAAAAGCTTCAGCTGAACTGTATTAATGTTTTTCTACTCTCAAATACAGTGTGAAACCCATAAACTTGTCATATTTTTATTGCTTTTACAAGCTCTATTTCTCCTGGTATGTGTTGGAGGAATGCTGGACCTCAGAGCAGGACAAAGCACGTCAGTCAAGGTCTTACATGGTTTTATTGTATTTAACCTGCGAGCTGAATGAAAAATAGAACAGATTCCTCCATCCACACTGTTCAGAACCCCCCACTTTGTCTATTGTAAACTGATAGCAGTGCCAGCCACTGTCAGAATACCCTAACAGTGCTTGCCTGCAAGGACCATTCAGTCGCAGATTTTCCAACATGTTCTTTCAGCAACAGTCACTCTAACGATAACATTCTGCCAGTGTAATCGGGTCACCAATGCACAGAGGCAGCTCTGTCAGCTGGGGTAAGGTTCCCAGGGTAGTCTATAAAGCATTAGAAAAATGAGAGCGCCAAAAAGGTTTATTCTGTCCAGTAATGATTTTATTTTTCACCAAACAGATAGTCAACAAGCCAACGTGCTTGGTAGCTCAAAAGGCCCCCTTCATTAGGACTTGTGTGCTGACAGTGGGTACTAAATGACAATTGTACAACAATACAGTCAATGTGAGATTTGCTGCTAGTCTGGCAACCTGGAACTCATATTACCAGTAATATTTTTATTTGAACCCACTGCCAGCGCACAAGCCCTGAGGAAAGGAGAGTTTTAAACCCCCTAAAACACATTGGCTTTTTTAAATTATGGTTTGGTGAAGGTGAAAAAGACAATTATTACTGGACTGAATAAAGCTTTGTGGCACACTCATCCTTCTAATGCGATACGGTCACATTCTACTGCTTGCCATTGTCACTGGAAATAAAAATGATGAAAATCCAACACTTCTACAGGTGTAACCAGAACATGAATAGTGGGGAAAACAAACAAAACTGAAAGTTGGTTTAACCGCTTAAAGACCAGGTGTTTAGATCCCCTACCTGGCCAGGCCATTTTTTAGTGTTCAGCGCTGCAGTACTTTGACTGACATTTATTCCGTCACGCAACGCTGTACTGAAATGAATTTTATACCATTTTTTGGGGACAGATAGAGCTTTATTTTGGTGGTATTTAATCACCACTGCGGGTTTTATTTTTTACTATATTCAGGAGAAATTACTGAAAATTTTTACATTATGCTATAAAACAACTAATATTACCCACTTTTTTGGTAAAATATAAAAGACGGGGTCACGTCGGGTAAATAGACACCAAACATCAAGAGTTTCAAGAGTAAAAATTGCGCGCACTCGCAAAATCGCAAAAAACTAGCATACCCAAAATTGGCCATAGGCGACGCTTTAAAAGCTTTTACCGCTCATCAGTTTAGTGTTATCAGTGATTGATGGCCCTAGAACTATTGCTCTCATTCAGACGTTCGCGGCGATATGTAACATGTGCGGCGTAATGGGTGCAATCGTCGTTTTCGCAGGTATGCACACCTTACGCATGTTTACATGCGTGTATGTAGGGGTGGGGACTTTAAAAAAAAAAATTGTTTTTTTTCATTCTTTTTTGTGTAACTTTTAAAAAATTGGGGGGGAAACTTTAAATTTTTGTACTATTTTTTTTTTTTCACTTAACTTTATTGCTATCACAGAGGGGGCTGAGAAACCCCCTTATGTGATAGCAAAAGAGGTGACAGGTCCTCTTTATGGAGACATCAGGGGGTCTCCAAGACCCCTAATGTCACCTAGGACCCCCCTGAAGAAGCTGATGAAGCAGAGATCTCTTTTCAAATAGCGGGGATTTCCCGCTCGCGCCCGAGCGGGCGGATGTAACAGGACGTGTATACACGCCCAGTTACATCCAAGAAGCTCCCGGCAGGCCGTGTATACACAGCGGCTGGCTGGGAGGTAGTTAAACATTAAATACTCTATCCAAAACAAAAACTATAAACAAATAACTTCTGTTACATTTAACTGCTGTTAGGTACACAAAATATAATTAAAATTCCTATAATGAACTTGACACATTAAAATATTAGCAGCCCTGTTTGTTGGCAGACCACAATTAACATGTAGTAATAGCGGACAAACTTCTCAGCGTTCAGCTTCTCTTATACTTCAGATAAAGTGATGTCATTGCCACCATTACCTTCCTCCTCAGAGTCAGAGTCAAAATACACATCATCATAATACTTCAGATTGCTGCCCTCTGCTGATGTGGTGGCAGCACTGCTGGATGCACCTAAAACACAAAACTAACATGTTGAATCTAGAAAAATACATAGATAAATCAATAAACATTACATTCTAAAAATTGGGAGAAATGCTGACCTGACAAGACAATCCAGTTCTAGAATACCTCCTTTTGTTCCTAAATATCAGCAATGTCTTCCCTAGTCAAATATCTCAGATTTGTTATGAGATATAAAAATAACTCATTTCTGTGCTCATCTAGCAGCTCCAGAATTGCAATGCTGATCACGTGTGGACCACAGCACTGCATGTCCACGGCAAACCGAGCTGGTCGGATCAGACATATTAGAAGGCCACTCACTGGGCCTCTTGTGGCCCTAGAGAGAGCCCCCACTGACCACCTGAGAGCAACACCCTGCAACCCAACTCAATGCAGCTTTGTGGTGTAACGGTGCAACACAGCGCTAAGTCTGCACTGATCTGTGCAGAATAACAAAAGGTGTGTGTGTGTCTTAAAGTGTAACTGCAGCATTGGAGCAGTTACACTTATTACATAGTAACCTTTACAGTCTTATACATAACTGACCCTGATTTGGCAAGAGATCAGCCGTGTAGCCCTGCCGACATGTTAAAATCCTACCAGAATCATTTCGCAAAAACACCTTACAGCATATCGCCAGGATTTTTAAAAGTTAACCGTTGCAGTGGGGGTACCCTCGCACTGGGTTAACTGCTTGTTTTGGTCAAGGGAATGGAAGAAATAAGATGCACTCACCTGATCCTCGATCCTGTGGTAGTGACCGCTCACTTTATCACCCCCCACCCA